TGGTCTCGCCTTTTTCCTTACAGTGCTTTTCATCACATCTTTGTGTCTGGGTCCAATCATGGTGTCTTGCTTCTAAACTTGAATGAAGGATTGCCTATTATGCGAAAAAAATTTCACTTTGATGGTCGATAGGTGTGGAATAATGGCTTTAAACCTCTTATTAAGTAGGTGTGGGATAGTTATATTTAAGGCTCAATTAATTTTAAAATAATTGAGAAGCTTAATTTGTGTAAGGGAAGGTTGATGTTTTGGAAAAGATCTCGGAATTTCCATTCAAAGGAGAAGATTGAGCGATTGCAGGGGTGTATTAAGGGTTTAAGGACAATTTTGATAGAAACCTTTGCTTACAGTTGGAGAAAGAGTTGGGTCAGGCCTGGAGGGAAGAAGAACTTTTTGGGAAACAAAAATCAAGGATTTCTTGGTTAAAGAATGGTGATAAAAATACAAGTTATTTTCATCGAAAAACTATTATTAGGAGGAAGAAGAATGAAATTTTAGGCTTAGAAGACCATGAAGGAATTTGGAGGGATTCAAAACAAGATATTAGAATGGTTGCTGAGGATTATTTCAAGAATTTGTTTACTTTTTCTACTATTGGTGAAGTCCCGTATTTTTGGGAGTTGGTTCCGATTAAAATTTCAGAGGAGTACAACATCAGTTTGTTACGACCAAGGACAGAGGATGAGCTGAAGAATGCAATCAAAGGTATGGGCCCTTACAAAGCTCCTGGTCTTGATTGGTTTATGCCTTTATTTTTTCAATCTAACTGGGATATAGTCAAAGCTGATTTAGTCAATGGATTTAATTCCTTCTTAACCACTGCTATCCTTCGCAAGAGTATGAAGTACACTCATATTTCTTTGATTCCTAAAGTGAGAAATCCTACACGGATAACCCAATTTCACCCAATTAGCCTATGTAATGTTCTTTATAAAATTTATTCGAAAATGTTGGCTAATAGGTTGCAGCCTCTTCTTCTAGCTCTAATTTTTGAAAATCAAAGTGCTTTTGTTCCTTCATGGCTTTTTCATGATAATGTGATGTTGGCCCATAAAGTTCTGCATTATTTGTGGGTTAAATCCGAAAGGGAAGACAAGTTTTATTGCTTTAAAATTGGATATGGCCAAAGCCTATGACAGGGTCGAATGGGATTTTATTCATAAGTTGATGGCAAAGATGGGTTTTGCAGAGCAGTGGATCTAAGTGATTATGTGTTGTGTCAGAACCGTTTCTTTTTCAGTGCTGATTAATGGGAAGAGTGGAAGTTTGTTTCGACCTACGAGAGGTCTTCGACAAGGCTATCATCTTTCCCCTTGACTTTTCCTTTTATGTACTGAGGGATTCTCTTTACTCTTACAACAGGCTGTAGCACAACGACATCTCTATGGAGTTTCAATTGGTAGAGGGGTTGATCCTCTCACTCATTTGTTTTTTGCTAATGATGCGCTCCTTTTTTGTGGGGCAAATGTCTTTAAAGCTGTAACTTTAGAATCTATTTTATCCATTTATGAAGTGCTTTCAGGGCAGATGGTAAGTTATGAAAAATTTGGTATTTTCTTTAGCTTTAATTTTTATGAAGAATTAAAAGAAAATTTGAGACATATTCTGGGTTTTCAAGAAGCAGGGTGAGTTAACAAGTACCTGGGGTTACCTGCTATTTTCGAGCGCTCTAAATTAGCATCATTGAAGTTTTTATTCGAGAAGATTCGGGCTAAAGCTCAAGCTTTGAAAGGGGAGATGTTATCAAAAGCAGGAAGGGAAGTGTTATTGTCTTCTGTTTTGGCTTCTTTGCCAAGTTATGCTGCTCAGTGTTTTAAATTCCTATTCAGCTATGTGAACATATTCAAAGTAAGTTAATTTCTTTTTGGTGGAGTGGATCCCTAAAAAAATAAAAATTGTGTTGGATTAGCTGGAAGACGATGTGTGCCTCCAAAGCTGAAGGGGGCTTGGGCTTCAAGAATTTAGAAGCTTTCAATATGGCTTTATTGGCTAAAATTGCTTGGAGGTTTGAAGTAGGGGATAACTCTTTGCTTACCAAGATTTTTAAGCAAAAGTACTTTCCTATAGGGAGGTTTTTGGAATCTGGCTGTGGTTCTAGACCTTCCAGGGTTTGGCGAAGTATTTTTAGTGTAAAAGGTGTTGTTGCTAAAGCTTTGCGATGGTGTATAGGAGATGGGAAAATAGTAAATTGTTGGAAGGAAAACTGGTTACCAGATCCCAATGCTCCTACAGTTTCTTCCAATCAAAATGGTAATCATATTACTACAGTTTCTAAGTTGAGTTTCATGAAACTAAGAGTTGGAATGAAATCTTAGTAAAGCGTATTTTTAATGATCAAGATGCAAAACTGATCCTTAAAATTCCTGTTTATAATTTTGGTGGATCTGATAAGAATGACTTCTGATGGTTTATTTACTGTGAAAAGTGCTTATAAGGTAGCTTTGGATTTGGTTGATTGTTCCCAGTCTAATGACGGAAGGTCTTGCAGTAGTATTGAGAAGGAGTTTATTCCTTTATGGAAGGGTATTTGGAAGTTAAAAACTCCTAGGAAGATTCAATTTTTCATGTGGTAGTGCTGTCACGAGAGACTTCCTATGTTGAGTAATCTGAAATTTTAAGGTTTAGTGGAGTGTGTATAATGTAATTTGTGCAAGGGTAGAGAGGAGACTATATCTTATCTTTTTTGTTTCTGCCCTGTTGCAAAGGTTGTGTGGAAAGCTAGTCCTATACGTTTTGATTTTGGTGATGAAACCCAAGTTTCTTGGAAGCAAGTGTGGATCTGCTTGAATTGTCTTTGGTCTCAACTAGAAAGTTATGCTGATTTGTTAAGTTTAGGGGCTTTTATTTGTTAGTAATTTTGGAAAGCCAGAAATTCTTGGTGTTTTAATGGGGTTAGATGGGAACCTTCTGAAATTCTCAATAAAATTATGTTTAACTTTTATGAGTTTCAAGGTAATTCTTTTTAAGATAAAGCCATGAAGTTGCCAAATTCAAATCTGGTGGATTGCTCCAAATAGTGGAATGTTGAAGTTAAATTTTGATGCATCCTTTGTGTCAGGGAAAACCTTTTGTGGTGGGGGTTTTGTGTTACAAGACTTTCATGTAAAAGTTGTAAAGGTTGCTACCACTATGATCCAGCATGTGGGGAATGCAGAGATGGCTGAAGCGGCGATGTTTTGGGAAGCTTTAAAGTTTACAATAGGGTTATGCTGAAGATGTTATTATTGAAGGTGACTGCAAAGGGGTTGTTGCTTTGACTCCGGTTGATTGTTTTGCTACCATGGTTTGTGATGACATTAAACACCTTCTTAAGCTTCATCCCAAGTGGGTTTTGAGTTGGTGTCCAAGGTCTTGTAATAAGGTTGCTCATTGTTTAGGTAGATTTGCATTTCAAAATCAGAGTGGGGAAGTTGATTGGGATGTCTATCCCCCATGGCTTCTTACTTCTCTGAATGATGATTGTAATGTTTTTGCTCTTCAATGAAGTTTGTTTTCATTCCGGGACCAAAAAAAAAAAAAAAAGAAGTAAATTTTAGGCATTTACATAGTGAAAAAAGATGACAATCAAGGTCCAAATTAATCCAGTACTTCATTAATAGCCATGTTAAAGCATTTATATCATCTCTATTACCCTTACTTTTATTCTTATCCTCATCTTTATCTCATATAAATGGGCAAATGGAATTTTTTTTTTTTTTTTCATTCTTTTCTATTATGAACATGTTGCATGGTTTCTAATTACTAAACACTTGTTTGGTGCATATTGTTTTTATTTTAATCCGAAATAAAATAATTGTTTTGCGTAGAGTGTTTTGAATAATGATCAAAAGTATTCTTGGTAACGTTCATTGGTTGCAAGATTTTTGGAAGAAAAAATATGAAAATATGTTTGGTAAAAAAGTGTTGCAAGTTTGAAAAATATAATGATTAGCTTAAAATTTTTATTTAAGAATTTTTTTGCTACTATTTATAAAACGTTTTGGCACTATACAAAACAAAATATGTAATATTTTTTACCAAATACGTTTTTTTCCCACTGTATATAGCTTTAGAACACGACAAAGACAGATACACAAAAAATAAAAGCATACAAACATGCCTTTACTTTCATGTGAGTTTTAGTCACCTCTTTTTATGACAATAATGTTAAGGGTTAGTTGTTAATTGTTAGAGGGGAAGGGGAATGGTGCAAGATTTGAACATCGACTCTTAGACAGTGGAGCAACCCAATCACTTCGAATCATTCAAACAACAAGACGCTCCTTTGATTTATAAACTAACACTACTCTTTTTACTTAGGCTCCGTTTGTTTCGACGTAAAATATATTTTTTGAAAAATATTTTCCTTTTTAAGGTAAAATATTCTTTTATTTTTATTTTTTTAGTATTTGACAAAGGTCTACATCGAGGTTGACAGTTTATCGGGCGAGACATGTAAAATATCTTGTCGAAAATTGATGAATTTGTTATTTTTGTTAAATTTTAATATTTTTTTTCTTCATAAATATTTTACAACAATTAAAAAATATTTTTTAAAACATATTTTAAATCTAAACAAATGGAGCTTATGGTATATTTAATTTTTTTTTTTATTTTTAAATGGAAGGACAAAATCACTTTGGATACATTATATACTGTATTATTTTTAGTTATCCTACTGCAGGCAAGAATAAATTCTGTTGAGTAAATTTATACATCACAGCAACATGAACTTGAATGACCAAAATACCCTTGACCTTCACTGATCACTGTCACTGACCCCCTTGATATGCTAAATGTTAAGCCAAAATATGTAAATGCCACGTCACTGTCACTGACCCCCTTGATATGCTAAATGTTAAGCCAAAATATGTAAATGCCACGTAACATCAGAAATTCACTCTCATTGTAACCGACACTGAAACATCGTCATAACGTTGGATGCCGTATGGGGCTTTAACTCCTTCCATATCTCCAAACGCATAATAATACTACACAATCACACACACCCGTGCATATATATATATATATATATCAATATAGAAAGCTAAAAGATAGAAGCAAACACGTGTGCATAATTGCACATATATTATACAAGACAACACTCAACCCCCCTAATTTCATCTTCTCATTTTCTTCTTCTTCTTCAATGTTGAGGGGTAGATAACTATATATATATATATATATCTTTATTTTGATGGCTACTTGGTTCACAAGATCAAGACCCATTACTCATCATCTAACAACAAAGATTGGGTTTTTAGAAACTCTGAGCCAGAGAATTCCAATTTCTTCATTTCACTCCAATTCTTCACATACAACCTCAAATGGTGAGGATTGCAGAGACCCACCTGCAATTTTGGGTCACTCATCTTCCCTTTCTGTCGATCGGCGTTTCGAATCCACCATAGCTGGAAAGCAAATAGAATCGCAGTACGACAATTGCGGTGATCAAAGTCAGGTAATTCTAAACTTTTATTCCTTTTAATATTAATTTTGTATTTTTCTTTTTTCTTTTTAGTGCTTTCTGAGGTCAGAAACAACATTCAAGATTTATTCATTAATATTAGAAAATGTCTGTTGGTTTCAGATTTTTTTCTTATTTTTTATTTGGAAATAAACAATGATAGATGACGACTACAATAATTAGTGATGTGATATAGGCTCCACTTTTATACTTTTTCTATTTTTTTATTTAAAAAGGAGACAATGTGATGAGGTATTTTTGAGGCCTCTCGGGCCGAATACGGACCTTTGGTGTTTGGATGAACCGTATTCAATGTGTCAGGGTCGAATTACCATATACAGCGTGTGGGATTGTGGGATAGAATTCTCACTTAAATCTCCCACGACTGGTATAGGTAGAGTCTAAGTCACCCAATCTTCTCAATAAGTGTGCTCTCATATTTCAAATGCGTTTAAATTTTAATTATGTCATTCTTACGATTTCGCTCTCAAATTCGCTCCGCTCCCGCTTCCATTTTATGTGACTTAGGAAGACTTTTAAAATATATATATTTTTGTGGGATAATTGTGTCATTTTATTTTCTAAAAGAAATCCATATATTATTTTTACAGATTAATATTAGTAGTATTTTAAAGGAGTTGTTTTTTTTGGTATAATGGTGAATATTCAATTCTTAATATGAGTGCAAATTACAATAACTTTACGTTACAATAATTTTAAAAGTTTTTCCAACACAATCTTGTGTGCGGATACAAAATACCTAAGATGTGGACATCTCCAATCTTGTCTTCCCAACACAATCTTGTGTGTGGATACAAAATACCTAAGATGTGGACATCATTTTATTTCAAGTTGAATTTAATTTGTACCGAATTTGATTTCAATGATTTCAAGTGTTCAACCATGTGACTAGAATAACAAAATACCAATTAAGTGAACTGATAAGATAATTCAAATCCTTATAAAGGAAATGGGACAGTTAGTTTTCTCACAATTTGGCACGGTCAAAGAATCGAAAATTTAAGAACTTTACAAAAATCTGGTTGGTTTACAGAGTAGAACTGTATTTTTTTTCAGAACTCAGTTGAAAAAAGCGCCAGAGAATTTCCTTGGTTTGGTATTCTCATAATATTTTTCTATTTTTTAAAAATAAAAAATTAAAAAACTGTACGAAAATCTGTTTGAAAGTACAAAGAATTTCTCCCAATTGCAGAGAGAGAAATTTTACACTCCCAATGATTTCTAACCACTTTTCCCTCTCAATTTCCCTTATTTATAGACGGTTATAATCTCCTCTGGCCTGGGCCTTATTTGTTCTCTTTTGCCTAGACTCAACTTCTCTCATTTTAATATGGGCTTCTGCAATGACTTCATGGATCTGGGCCCATCCAGCGTGAACTTGCTCCATCCTGGCTATCCATACCCGACCCGTCCTTTGCAATACGGATCATACCAAGCCCGGGTCATTTTGGTGTCCTCATCTACCCCCAATAATCTCTCCCCTCATTAATGAGGGTGAGATTATTGAAAAGACACGATCTTGGTCTGACTGCTCGGAGCGATGACACGAGGAATCGAACGGCTGGCACAAAAACCCAAACTTCGAGATCTGCAGGCCACTTTTTACCTTGACCTTTTGAGTTCCATGTCGTCTTTACTTTTTCTTCTTATAAATTCCGGTCTTTCAACCTTCATCTTTCTTTTTATATCTTGCTTCTACTCTCCACTGCCTTCCTGCACATTCCGGCGATTCTTCTTCAATTTCTTCGGCGAGTTTTTCCTTTTCAATTTTTGGCTACTATGCTGTTGCTGTGTTCATCACAAACTTGCAAGGTCAGTTTTTTTTTTTTTTTTTACCTCTCTTTGAAAAAGACACCTTTATTGCCTAGGACTCCTCCCCTTTTCTATGGCTCCCCCTAATCTGAACGCCATTCGATCCAAGAATTGCATTCCCCGTGATGTTTCTCTCAGAGTCTATCCAATAAACTTAGTGGGAGATCTGGTGAGGGTCTCCTTCTTGGGGAAGTTTTATTCTCCGCCGTTCATTTGAACGTCATTAGGTTCCCCCTACACCTATTCTTTTGTTATGCTTTCAACAAATTGGGGCTCTGCCCTCTACTGGTTAACCTTAACTTCCTTAAGGTAATTTCAGTCCTTCTGCTCTTGAATCGTGACAGGGGTCTCAATCTTGACATTATCGACCTTCTCCTCTGCTACCGGATTAATAAAATTTCACAAAATGATTTGTACTATCACTTCTTCCCTATTGACAAACGGTCGATCTGCACTGCTAAGAACTCATTTGAATAAGGTTGGAGACAAAACTTAATTGTGGTTAGTGGGAATTGGCGGACTCCGCTCGGCCAATCTTTCTCTATCTCTTCTTCCTTTGGAACATGCTCTGTCTCTGGCTATAAAAAACTGAAAACACATCCTACTCAATGCCACTGTAAAAGTTGCTTTCCCCGTTTTTGCACTTTTCTTTGTAAATGCCTTCAAATTCCCCATGATGAACTGGTTTATAGCGTCTGCAGGGCTAGGCTAGACATCTTGCAAGAGAGTGTGCTGAACAATGTCCCTTCAGCTACTGATTTGCTTACATCTGACAATCTCTCTGATATTTCTCTTTTAGGGTCCACAATGGAGAGCATTCAGATCCCATCTTTCAGCAAGAGGAGGCGTTCTGCTCCCACCCCTTCTAACGCTCCTACTACCACATCATCATCTACACCTGCTACCACATCGTCCACCCTTGCTGTCTCTGCCCCAGAGCAAGTTGTGATTGCTCCAACTGTGACTCAAGTCACAAACCGTTCTCCTGTTGAGCCTTCTAAGCTCACTCATGCTGAGAACCCTATTGTGGATCATACTGCTGAGATCCGTCCTGCTGCTCCCATCATTATGCCTTCCAACATCTCGTCTGATACTTCCTCAGAGAGCACTCAGGATGCTGGAAATTCTCAGGACAATAGAGGACCAGCTAATGCTGGGCTGGTCTGTCAGAAAAAAGTTTAGGAAAAAGGCCAATGCCTGAGGGCGGTCATGACCTGAGTGATATCCCACCAGCCCGGAGGACTAGGATGGCTTCCTTCAGGGTTACTGAACCATTGCCCCCTGCCCGGTTCTTCATTCCAGAAGGCGAATCAGCCAGAACCTCTAATCCGACTCCATCCGTTCTTCCATGGTGACCTTTGCTCAGCCGTGAAGATGGCTCGACCATTGGCCCCACCGGCTCTATGTGTAAGGACCCCCTCACCTCCTTTGCTTTCTACAAGGGTTTCTGGACCCCCAAGGACCTTGAGATTCAGAACAAGCTATCCTTTGGCGAGATGTTCTAGTGGTTCCCAGCTGCTGCTATGGAGGTAACTTCTTTTTTTATTGAAATGCGTTTCCTTTCTGCTATAACTCTTTAGTAGTTAGTCTGACCTGAATTTCCCTTCCTTTATGCAGACTCTATTTGGGATGTTCACCTTCCAAAAAACCATTGAGACTCTGAACAAAAAACTTAAATCCCTCTCTGTGGGCCTTAAAAGGTCTGTTCAAGCAGAGAATCGCCTTGAGGCCAAGGTTGCTGAGCTTGAGTCTAAGCTGAGTCAGAGAAGGGGGTTGCTGACTTAAAGGCAGAGAAGGATGGTCTGGCAAATGAGAGGGACTCCCTCAGAGCTGAACGGGATACCCTGAAGGCCGAACGGGATTCTCTTCAGGATGAGGTTGATGTCTTGAAGACTGAGAAGAGCGTTGCTCTGACAGAAAGGGACTCTCTCAAAGCTGAAAAGGGAGACCTTCAGCGCTTACTCATTGCTGATCGGTTGTCTCATGCCAACTCACAAGAGAAGCTCTTAAGCGAACGCTCTTCCTTGCTGAACATGATTGGCAAAGTTGAAGGGGGTATGAAAGCTCTCCTTGCTCGCTTCACCAGAACCAGTGTCATCCGGTATGCTGAAAGGTACAGAGATGGTTTTATTGACCGTTCTCCCCCTGAAGGCGAATCAAGCTCTTGTGATGGTCCGGATGAATTAGATGCTTCTCTAGATATCCACCCCCCAAACAATTATCAAAACCCACCCTGCGACCCTGTTGAGAATATCTTCATCGAGTGCATAGAGGTTGCATCCTCAGGAATTGTTCCACCCTTTCATCCCCTGAATATTCCTCTCTTTTCTACTATTGTGCCCTCTTCCTCAGTTGTTACTGACAGACTTATGCCTGCTGAGGGGGTGATTCATCTTGACTCCCCCCCTAAGGATGATAGGGCAGCTGAGAATGGAGAAGACCTCAATGGTCCAGAGGATAATGGTGGGGAGAACGACAGGTCACAGCCTGGAGATCATGAGAACTGACATCCTATAGCAGTTTTTTTTTATTTATTTTTTATTTTTTTATTTTTTTTTATATATCTTCATGTATCCTCAGATCATCAAGCTATGTACCTCAGGACCTTTTTGTAATGAATGACAATGCTTTTGTTCAGCATGACTTCCATTCTTCAAGTTTTCCATTTTCAACTTTGCTGTGTATTTTCACAAGTTTTTGGTGTTCAGCCTGGTTACTGTTCTGGCTTTATTTTATTTTGAGCAAGTGTTCGACGTTCGGCTCGTAGTGCCAGCTGCCACTATCTTTACTGAATGCCTGGCGCTCGGCTTGAACGCCACTTGCTACTTGGCTTTATTTTTATTTTGGAGCAAGTGTTTGACATTCGGCTCAAAGTGCCAGCTGCCACTAACTTTGATGAATGCCTGGCGCTCGGCTTGAACGCCTCTTGCCACTTGGCTTTATTTTTATTTTCGAGCAAGTGTTTGGAGTTCGGCTCAAAGTGCCAGCTGCCACTAACTTCGCTGAATGCCTAGCGCTCGGCTTGAACGCCTCTTGCCACTTGGCTTTATTTTTATTTTCGAGCAAGTGTTTGGCGTTCGGCTCAAAGTGCCAGCTGCCACTAACTATACTGAATGGGAAGGATGTCAATTGATTTTTGAGCAAAGAAAACACTTCTTATAAAACTTGGGAATTTCGTACACTTGCAAGTATGCAATTTAAAGCGTGCATATTGTTTGAAATTAAACTCTACTTTTACTGGTAGTACCTTTTTAGGGACGTAGCATTCCATGGCTTATTGATCACCTTTCTTGCCATAGTTTCCAGGACATATGCCCTCTTCCCTATGACCTCTGCTATTCTATATGGACCTTCCCATGGGGAGAACATCTTTTTGACTATTCCCACCTTCCTTTTCAGAACCAGATTGCCAAGAGCGAAGTCTCTGTGCCTTACCTTCTTGTTATGGCTATTCACAAGCATCTGTTGATAAGAGGCAAGCCTTACTACAGCCGCATCCTTTTTTTCCTCCAGCAAATCGAGATTAAACCTTAGCATTCTATCATTTTGCTCTTGATCCCACGCCAAGCTTCTTACAGTTGGAACCAAGTGCTCGACTAGTATCACCGCCTCGGTGCCGTATGCCATAGCTAATGGGCTCTCTCCGGTCGGCCGTCTTGGGGTTGTTCTGTAAGCCCACAAGACGTTCGGAAGCTCATCTAACCATTTTCCTTTTTCATTTTCCAGCTTTTTCTTAATGCAGGCAAATATTGTCATGTTTGTGATTTCGGCTTGACCATTAGCCTGGGGATGACTGACTGCTGCTAACTTCTAGTTGATTCCATATTCTTCCAGCAACTCTTTCACTTACTTGTTATCGAGGTTGGTCCCATTGTCCATCACGATTGACCTTGGCACGCCAAAACGACAGATAATATTATTCCAGATGAAGCGTCTTACTTGAGTTTGGGTGACACTAGGGTACGGCTCTGCTTCTACCCATTTGGTGAAGTAATCAGTTACTAGCAGAACGTACTTATTTTGCGATCTTGCGGTCGGCAAAGGGCCAACCACATCCATCCCCCACTGCGCAAAAGGTCATGGGGTGGCCATTACGTGCAGGTCTTCAGGTGGTTGGTGTATCAATGGCCCGAACCTCTGGCATTTATCACATCTTTTAGAGAATTCTTCATGTTTGGCCAGAAGTACCCTTGTGTCATTGCTTTGTGTGCTAAAGATCTTCCTCCTGAATGATTTTCGCATACTCCCTCATGAATGGTTCGCATAATCTGTCTAGCCTCTGTTGGGGTAGCACACTTCAAATATGGACCCGAGAAGGAGCGTCTATACAACTGATCACGCACAATGGCATACTTCGCAGCGTTGGACCTGATTTTTCTTGCCTCGTCCTTCTGCTCGGGGAGTACACCATTACGTATGAAAGCCATGATCGGATCAATCCAGCTCGGCTCATATGGTATAACATTAACGTATTGAGTGCTCGGATTAGGCAGCTCATAAAAAATGGAAGGTTGGACTAGCACGTCCACCGGGATAACCCTAGCCAAAGTCTCTCCAGAACTGGACGCACTATAAGCCAAGCGGTCGGCATCTTCGTTATACTCCCTCGGCAATTGGATGAACCTGATCTGATCAAAGCCTTTCGCCTCACGCAGAATCGCAGTTCAGTATGCTTCCATGGTCTTATCCTTGGTCCCATATTCGCCAGTGACTTGCCGAATGATTAGTTGTGAATCACTATAAGCAATCAGATTCTTGATCTTCAGCTCTTTAGCCAACTTTAGCCCAGCTATCAACGCCTCGTATTTTGCCTCATTGTTGGTTGCGTTGAACTCAAGTCTTATTGCTTGGCTCAGCGTGGTGCCTTCTGGTGTTCGCAATTGGATTCCAATCCCTGCCCCCATTTGATTCGAAGAGCCATCCACAAAGAGCTTCCACAAGGAATAATTATAATCCTCCACCAAATCTTCAACATCACATTCAAGTAGGAAATCTGCCACCGCTTGACCTTTGATTGCCGTCCTGGGCTCGTACGCAATATCAAATGAACTCAATTCAATAGCTCACTTGGTCATTCTCCCCAATAGGTCCGGTTTGTGCAAGATCATCCTTAAAGGGAAAGTTGTTAAGACAACGATCGGATGAGATTCGAAATAATGTCTAAGCTTCCTTTTTGCGTCGACCAGCGACAAGATCATCCATTCGGCCCTTGAGTGCCTTCTTTTCGGCTCAGACATTGTTTTGCTAACATAAAACATCGGGAATTGCTTTCTGTCTTTGCAACGGATCAGAACGGCACTAGTCGCTATGCTGGATACCCCAAGATACAGAAAGAGCTTCTCATTCGGCTCGGGAGCAGATAGAACTGGAGGGTTGCACATGTATTCTTTCAGACTCGTTAGCGCCTGTCGTTGTTCATCCCCCCAAGTTTGCCTTCCGTGCCCTCGAATTGTATCAAAGAAAGGTTTACAGCGGTCCGAAAGCTTGGAAATAAATCAGGTCAGCGCAGCTATTCGACCTGTGAGTGCTTGCACCTCCTTAATTGTCTTTGGCTCTGCATTTCTGATCAGGGCTTCTGCCTGTGCTGGGCTGGCCTCAATTCCTCTATGATTGACCACATGTCCCAGAAATTGACTGGAGCTTACGCCGAATGAACATTTGGCCGGATTAAGCTTCATCCTATATTAGCGCAACACATCGAACACATCCTGCAGGTGCGCTAAGTGATCGTTCTTCTTCTTACTCTTGACCACCATATCATCAATATAAGCCTCGACAGTTCTTCCCATTTGGCCTTTAAAAATCTTGCTGATCAGCCTCTGATAAGTAGCTCCAGCGTTTTTTAATCCAAACCGCATGACTTTGTAGCAATAAGCCCCTCGTTCAGTAACAAAAGAAGTTTTCTCTTCGTCAACTGGATCCATGGGGATTTGATTATAACTGGAATAAGCATCCAGGAAGGTTAATCGCTCGTATCCTGTGGTGGCATCTACCATTTGATCAATCCTTGGCAATAGGAAACTATCATTTGGGCAAGCTTTGTTCAGATTAGTGAAGTCAATACACACTGTCCATTTCCCATTCTTTTTCTGCACTACAACAACATTGGAGAGCCAGGCCGGGTACTGAACTTCTCTGATGAATCCTGCTTCAAGCAACCGATCAACCTCCTTAGCTATAGTCTGATTTCGTTCTGGAGCAAATCTTCTCTGCTTCTGCTTCTGCTTCACTGGCTTTGCATTCGGGTCTACATTGAGGGAATGGCAGGATACAGAAGGATTTATCCCTGGCATATCTGAACGGCTCCATGCGAATACATCTGCATTCCGAGTCAAGAAATTAGTCAACTCTAGTTTTTCCTCTTCAGTAAGTCTGGATCCCACCCTTGTTGTTCGGTCCGGCTTCTTATGGTCAATCTTCACTTCATGAAGAGGTTCTGTGGTCAGAACTGGTGGCTCCTCCTCCCCATCTCTGCTGGGAGGAGGTTCCCGTAATTGCTACTTTGGACTGGCAGAATGGATGGGATTTTTCCCTTTTCCAGCAGATTTCAAAGTCACTGAATAACATTCTTTAGCTGCAACCTGGTCCCCATGTATGTCAATCACCTTGGTCCCATCTGGACCCAAACATTGCATCACTTGATGCAAGGTTGATGGGACGCCCTGAACTCTGTGAATCCACCCTCTGCCTATCAAGAGATTGTAGGATGGATAAATTTCCACGACCACAAAACTCTCAGTCAAAACTCGCTCAGCAGCTTGTACTGTCAATTCCACCATTCCAATGGGTTCCACTCGCTTCCCATCAAATCTGAGCAACGGATTTCCTGTGGGTTTAAGTTTTTCGGGTTCGATCTCAAGTCGGTCGAACGTCACCCTGGGCATGACATTCGCACTACTTCCTGGATCAATCAAAACTCTTCGAACCAGGCATTCTGCAACCGTCAGGCTGACGACTAATGGATCTTCATGAGGAATCTGAACGCGTAGCAGGTCTGTTCTGTCGAACTTTATCGGTGTGGATGCGTTTTGCTGGTGCAAAGCATGCACACTGCCAATCCTTCTTTTCAACTTGGCCTAGCGTAACCGCGTTCTGAGCAACTCTTCTGACTCCGTCGTTTGTTCTGGTCAGCCATGAATTGCATTTATAATCCGAACAGGCTGAGAGTTGTGTTGGTTCGGCCTCTGGTTCCGTTTGATCTGCTCAGCCGGGCGGTTCTGCTCTTGCGCTGGACCTTGAACATAGCTTGCAAATTCCCCCTTTGCGATTAGCAGTTCTACCTGCCTCCTTAGGTTCCTGCATTCGTTAGTCTGATGTGCAAAATCACTATGGAAAGCACAATGTTTAGTTTGATCCCTCTGTTCAAGAGGTTGTCTGATTGGTAAAGGAGGACGAAACTTATCTTTGTTCTCTTGGTATAGCCTTGCTAAGGTGACTCTGAGTGGAGTTACTGATTCCTCCTCCCTGGGCCTTTTCTCCGCCTTCCATGAGGTATGACGTTGCAGCTGAGCTTGTTTTTGCCGGATTTTGGCTTTGGACTTCTCTTCCGTCGAAATAATTGACGTCTTCCTCGAATTAGCTGCCTCTTCCTCCTCAAGACGAACAAAACCATTAACTCTCTCGTTCAACTCATTCATGGTCTTCGGCGTATTAACCACCAAGCTGGTGTGGAACGGCGTCCCACGGTTCATTG